TGGGTATGATTTTAGTCTAAACGAAGTTAGGGATTGGCTTGAAAGACAGGCTGTACATCAGATACATAAGTCTCGTCCTAAATATATTTCTCAAGCAAGTTTTTGCTCTATTACTACTCCCAATAAAGTTCACCAGGCAGATGTTCTCTACATACCTTATGATAAAGTAAGATGAGTCACCTATCTTTTTTGCCTTAATGTGATAGACGTGGCTTCGAGATATAAAGTATCTATTCCTATTAGCGTATATAGTGTCAAGGATAGGCAGGGGATCTTAACTTCAAAAACTATTGCTAGAGCTCTTAAAGAGAAATATGATGACCCTGAGTGTCTTCTAGTCTGGCCTGAAACATTTTTAACAGATAGGAGGCTAGAGTTCAGGGGTGATTGTGAGAAATTAATGAGAGAACATGACGTGAAAATTCAGAAGGCCTTTACTAAAGATACTATGGGTATTACTGAAAAATATAATGGTGATTTAACTAGAAAATTGTTTCGTTCACAAGATGCTTCTAATCTTTTGACTTTACACTTAAATAAGATATCCTGGGTTTGGGTAAAGAATTTGCCTATAGTTAAATATTTTAATAATTTTATCACATGCCAGCTTGGTATTTCTCCTGATAATGCAATAGAGAAAAAAGAAGTCTTGGCTAAGCCTTCTTATCCTTAGGATGGCCCTATAGGCTTTGATGAAGAGAAGCTTTCTGGTGATATTCTTGTTCGATATTTACTATATCCTAGTGATTTAGAGGGTGGGAGACATCGTGCTGATAATTTGAATTGATTCCCACATATTTATCATATCCGTCAATCTATAGTACAAAAAAATCAGCCGGTCTTATACTGGCTAAAAGAAGTCCCCTTTGGGTTAATTGATAATAATGATTATATTCTCAAACGTCCTGAAAAATCTTTTGTTCGAGAAGAATTGATGGTTATTCCCTTTGATACTGAGTCACCACCCCAGTGAGTACTTGTGAATTAAATTGATAACAGGAAGTCTTTAGTTTTTTCATTAACCTGTTCTTCTGTATTGAAATAATCCTTAGCTAATTTATAATATAACTTATATAGGTCTATAATAGCATTGAGAATTTTTGGACCTTTTTCATACCAAGATTTATAGTCATCCATGATTTGGTGATACTTATCCTTAGTTGGAAATAATCTTTTAGGATATATTCATCAGGGTCTTCTGCCTAGGGTTGAAAAGATCCGTCCTGGTTTGGTCCTGGTCTTCTAACTTGCAGGTCCCATCATTAGGACTTGTAACCTAGTCTTTAATAACTGATTTTGTAACTAGTTCAAAACTGGATTTAGGATCAGTTTTTAAACAGATAATTGTGACCTTCAATTCATTATAGCCATAATAATACAATTTATTCATCAAAGAAGCAGAGTTTAAATGATTATAAATTCAATGTTTAAACAAATAAATTTAAATAAACAACTAAAATTTTTAATAT